AAAAAAAAAAAAAAAAAAATGGTGGTCTACAAATTTTTCAGTGGAATTGTTCCTTATCTCATTCTCTGCTGGCATTGTTTATAATAAGGTCAGAGAGGCAACAATCAACCGCATAAATTATTTTAGGTCTGCATGTAAACGGATGCTCGACGTTTTAGGTAAAGGAAGCACAAAAAAAAAAACCTGTTGAAGGAACTTCCCTTACTACGCACGATAACCTTAATGTGTATTCAAAGGACACAATTTTGCCTTTAATACTAGAGTAATGCTATACCCCGAGAATAATTTCAAGCAAAATAATCGAAATTAGGGCTGTCCATGTTCATTATCATTAATTAACAATTGTACATGCTAGCTGTTTTAAATCACAGACTTGAAGTCTGTCTCAAATTATTTAGAGTTCTTCCTTTGAATTCTTGCTTTCTTCAGGGGCGGAGGCTGCATTTTTGTGTGCAGACTGCATTTTGCTATGCATGGCACGAAGCATCTTTCCGTTATCTGCTCCATCTTTATCTTGCTCCCAGATGGTTCTCCAATTGAATCGATTTCCATTCATGCAACTGCAAGAGAAGAATCTCAGTTCACAACCTTGCCATTTCGAGCCCTCGTCCAATTGTGTAGTTACAGACAATCGCTGTTCACCGGTGTCAAGGATGGTGATTTCGTCTTTAAAGCAGGTCTGGCCGTGGCATTGGCAATAGACACCGGGACCATAATGGCAGTCAGAGTCGTCATGGCAACCCGAATAAGGAATGTAGCACTTATATGATGGTACATCGTCAGTTGAATAGTCCGTGGTAGAAAATCCTTGCATTGCCCATCCATTTGGCATACTAAATGGACAACCAAAGTTCTTCATTCCCAAGTAATAGCCTTCCAAATGTCTCACTTTTGCATAGTGTTCTGTACCCATGTACCTTTGTCCAAGTAATGTCCACACTGCAGTAAATGAATATCCAATTGGCTCTTCCCAGTTCGCTTCGGTCAAAAATTGGGCTATAAGCTCGCCCGTTCGTTCAGCATAGAGTTTCGCTCTTGTTTCTTTTGTTCCTCCTCTTATGATTAATCGTGTGGTAACTTCAAGGGATGAACTAGCGTCCGCTTCTTCTTGGGTTATACCAGCACAAGTAGAAATGTTTGTTTTTGTAATGTTTGTTCCACCTGTAAAAGCAACACAAGCCCTCACAGTGAAGTTTCGTTCATCGTAATTCTGCTCAGATTGAGAGAAGCAATGCTGATACATTCTAGATCCATATGTAACTCCTGTTACAACATTAGATCCGAATTCATTCAAAAACTTCTCATAAGCGGTGAAATTGTAATATCCTCGTCCCCGCGGCCCAACGCTCCGCGGCAAACTCTCAAATGCTGAAATAAAATGTTGAGATAATGTATGGCTGCTCTCGTCGTAGATGCATTCAGGCTTAATAACACAATGACCAACTTTCGATAGCACGTTTAAGGTAAAACCTTTCACTGTGCGATTACTTTTAGAAATCGATTCTGTTGTTTGATCCAAGGTAAAGCCAAGAGTAAAATCTTTCTTTAACTCTGCTCCCAGTTTGTAGTTTTCTGCAACGCTTGAGTAAAAGGCTTCTGTGCTTTCGAAGTAAGTAGAGTCGTTGTCAATAATTTCACTTTTATTGCAGACAAAGCAATCTTGTGATTTGTTGAGAATTAGTACAGGTGCACCACCGATCAGCTCTTCGCCAAGCAGATCAGTTTTTGCGAGGTAAAACACCTGGCCAACTGGAGGGTGAAGATCTTTAGCGTGCACTCCCAATTGTAAAAACAAAGAGAAAAAGAGTGCTGAACTGATTGCTCCAAGCGTTATCATAACTGCAATGAAAACAGTCGTTTTTGATTAGTACCTTAGCTATATGAAGTAGGTGTGTTTTATTCATGTTCTTTAGTGATTTTTGGGCTTCAGGAAGAATATAACCGTTTTTCCCCTTACAAATCCTTATCATGATTTCGACTGTTGCGTAGCCTGAATACTAATATATGTACGAGGGACGCTCAATTTAAGTGATCTATGATATCAAAAGGGTGGTAAAGAGTATTTTCGTGATTCGTGAGTGGCGTGTTTTTTTCCCCGTGAAATATGAAAGGGCTTTTTTTTTTTTTTTTTTTTTTTTTTTNAGCACAAGGAAGAGGGTGGTAAAGGGTATTTTTCGTGACCCGTGATCGGCCCTCTTTATTTCCCGTGAAATGTGAAATAGCCATTTGTTTCCTCGTGAATCGTGATTTCCATAGCCGCCGTGAACCGTGATTTTCCAAAATAATCCTCCGTGAGATGAGAAAAAAGTATTTAATTCGTTGTGAACTGTGATTCTGGTTGTGTCTTCTATTATTTTCGACCGTAATTAACAATATTGCGTGACCGTGACAGGACAATCATCCCTCTACGTGTTCTTGGTCAGATTTCTTTTTGCTGCGCCCAGAAAAAGAAGCGGACGGATGATAAAGACATCTAACAAGGCTGTACTTTGTACGTAACTTTTCAAATATCATAAGTTACGTGAGTTTGTGTCAAAAAATGCCAATTTATTTTCGCGAGACGAGAAATCCCGATTTTATTTCCCGTGAATCGTGAAAGGACCAATTTATTTTCTGTGAAACGTGATCTTAACAAACTTAACACTAGTCTTTCAGCCAATACCATCATAGCTAAACTGGCCAATCACGTTCAATGGACCAGACTTATAACATCATCGACTGACAAACACTATTCATTTGACTCTGAAGATGGTTTTCGCTTAGGTTGTGGAAACATCAGTCACCAACAACAGTTCTTCTCAGAACTACCCTCACCCGGACGATCACACTATACGAACTACTGATTTAAAAGTCTCCCGCCAAAACCTTAAAGAGTCCCTAGGCATCCCGTGATCCGCCGCAAGTCTCTCCAACATGCCGTCAGAATAATAATTTCCGACTAATTCGTCCCCCAATCGTCAGAAATTATATAAATCAGTCATACTACACAGGCTGAAGCAAAATGATCAACTCACTGGCGTGAAAACAGGAGTGAACTCTTGCTATTTAATTAGTCAGGTGTGCTGATTTGAAATTCAGTATAGCTCTCCTTGAAGAAAAAAAAGATGACTGAACAATGGCTGTAATAATCTTACAAGACAATTAAGTAGCTAGACAGGTTGATAGGAAGAACAAAACAACAATGGCCTGTATTAACCTGGTTTTAGAGTTTTCCATTTCTTCTTTCTACATCTTATCAAGAAAAAAAAAAGCTGTCGGCGGTGAGACAGACGTGGTGGATGTGAATTCAAAAACAATTACAAACTAGGAAAAACGCCCCGAAATCGAATAATTTGCTTCATGATTGCGGTGCAACAACTTCAACTAGCCATGTAGCTCTTCATAACGAATTGAAAAAAAAAAAAAAAAAAAAGATTTTAGGAGTGGCTTGTCGTTCAAATTTGAATTTTTTATTTGTCTTCGCAAGCAAACTTATTATTTGTCTAGAACTCACTGGATAATACGTCCAGGTAAATGAAAGACACACAAAATAGGGAATAATTGCTCTCGATTTTTACGGCTTAATAAAGAAAAATCGTTTTTCCTAATACATGTTACATCCACGTACTTGATTTAGATTTAAAATGCATTGTACGCCTTTAGAAAGTGTTAGTTCGTGTCTTCCTAGTGCGAGTGCGTTGTTTACGGTAGTTACACTGAGTTGTAACTACATTTGAATTTTTGTCTAGAACTACTCCTCACTGAATTACAAGGTGCAGTATAATGAAATTGGAATTAGTATAATTGGCTTGGAAATGGGTTTGACTACTTGCTATTAAAGTAGCTAGATATGCTAACTGAACATGAAATGAAATTAGCTCTTCTCTAGAAGGGAACATATTCTTCTTGCACGACAATACTGAGCTACATGGCCTGATCAGGAAGAAAACAAAAACACAAAACAAACAATGGCCTTACTAAGCTGTTTCTTCTTTACAACACTTATCAAGCAACAAAATAGCCGTCGTGGCGAGACATAATTAAGTTAGAAAAATGCAAACCGGGAAAATTGTTCCAGAACAAAATAAATGGCCATGTGTAGTGGATCAAATTCAATCAGTACGCCACGCAGCTTTTGTTAACCAATCAAAACAACGGAATGTAATTAAGGTTCCTTTAAGTTGCTTTAATTGGAAAGAACAAAACAACAATGGCCGTATTAACCTGGTATCAGAGGTTTCCTTCCTTCTTCCACTTCTTATCAAGCAAAAAAAAGCTGTCGGTGGCAAAACAGACTTGGGCGTGGATTCAAAAACAATTGCAAACTACGAAAACGCTCCGAAATCGAATAAATGACTTTACTTCAACGAGCCATGCAAGTCTTCATAACGAATCAAAACAAGGGTTTAGTAGAAGCTTGTCGTTCAAATTTGATACTTTTTTGTCTTCGCAAGCAAACGTATTATTTGTCTAGAACTTATGAGAATAAGGGTAGGCATCGAGGTAAATGAAAGATGCACAAAACAGGCAATTATTGTCCTTGAAAAATAAAAAGGAAACTCGCCCTGTAGTAATTATTTTGCCTGCCTAGTCGAAAATATCATTTGCATAATTAATTTTGCATCGACGTAATAAACTTCACTAAACTGCAGTAATAAACTGTACGACGTACTTGATTTAGATTTGAAAACATTGTACGTCTTCAGAACGTGTTATACGTCTTCCTTGTATAAGAGCGTATTAGAGAGAGCTAGAGAAACTCAAGCCTTTTGAAGGGCGGATTTTAGGCGATTTATTTTGATTCCTTTGAAAAAACTTTTTCGCAAAATTTGAGTTGCCAAATTCGGGGTGCGGCTCATCTGCGAGTGCGACTTATCTGCTGGTAATCTGAATGGTAGTTACATTGGCCCGGGTCAGTGATTTCTAAGAAAGTGGCATTGGTTCGTCACTTAATTAGCCGGCTTTGAGTTAGCTAAAAAGGATGAACCTACCTGAAGTAGCTGAGGAAATCAGCGATACTATACAAGCTGAAGCAAAATGATCAACTCACTGGCGTAAAAACAGGAGTGAACTCTTGCTATTTAATTAGTCAGGTACGCTGATTTGAAATTCAGTAAAGCTCTCAGCTCCCTGGGGAAAAATAACTGAACAGTTGCTGTAGTAGTCTCCTAAGACAAATTATTAGCTAGATTATGTGTCTTCGCAAGCAAACACACTATATGTCTACAGGTCATGGAAATACGTCCAGGTAAATAAAAGACACACAAAATAAATAATCATTGTCTTTGATTTTCACAGTTGAGTAAAAAAAAAAAAAAAAACAGAAAGAAAAAAACCTTTTCTCTGATATGTCTTACATCCGGTGTTTACGGTAGTCACACTTAGTTGTAGTTACATTTGAATTTTGTCTTTGCAAGCGAATCTTTTTTAAACAGCCACTCCTCACTGAATTACGAGGTGAAGTATAATGATTAACGCGCTAGCCTGTAAATAGGTATGACCACTTATATCTAGGTATGCTAATAACATGAAATGAATTAAGCTCTTTTCTGGAAGGAGACGTATTAATCTCGCAAGCGTAGATGGCCTGATTAGAAGAAAACAAAAATGGCCGTATTAACCTTGTATTAGAGCTTTCCATTTCTTCTTTCCACTTCTTACCAAGAAAAAAACAGCTGCCGGCGGCGAGACAGACATGGGTGTGTATTCGGGAAAAATTACGAACTAGGAAAATGCTCCGAGATCGAATAAATGACTTTACTGCGGTGCAACGACATAGTACTTATGAGAATACGTCCAGGTAAATGAAAGAAAATTGGTAATTCTTGTTTAAAAGCCGTTTTTGCAAAATTTGAGTTGCCAAACTCGGGGTGCGGCTTATCTGCGAGTGCGGCTTATCTGCCTGTGTTTGCAGTGGTTACATTGGCTCCGGTCGGTGACGTGATTTCTAAGAAACTGACATGGGTTCGTTACTTAGCCTGCTTTAAGTTAGCTAAAAAGTATTAACCTACCTGAAACAGCTGAGAAAATCAGTGATACTGTACAAGCTGAAGCAAAATGATCGTTGCAACTTACTGGCGTGAAAATGAGAGTGAACTCTTGCTATCTAATTAGCCTGGTATGTTGATTTGAAATTCAGTAAAGCTCTCCCTGGGGAAAAAAAAATAACTAACTGAACAAAGGTTGTAATAATCTACGAAGACAAATAATTAGCTAGACTGGTTGACTGGAAGAACAAAACAATAACAATGGCCGTAATACCTAGAGTTGGAGGTTTGCTACATGCTTTCCACTTTTTATCAAGCAAAAAAAAAAAAGCTGTCGGCGGCGAGACAGACATGGGTGTTAAACTGAAAACAATTGCTCCGCGCGCAATCGAATCAATGGCCATACTACGGCGCAACAACTTCAACGAGGCAGTACCACTCTTGCTAAGGAATCAACACAAGAACTGTCTAGAACGTATGGTAATAGGTCCAGGGAAATAAAGGACGTCAAAAAAAAAAACAAAAAAAAACCGGTCAATTATTGTCCTTGATAACCAATAAGAAACTCGTCCTCTCCCTATTTTGACGCGCGAGGAAAAAAAGATAGGTACGCAGTGCGTACGCAAACAGCTGGACATACAATCATGCTTATTGGCCTATCAAGAATGAGACGTTTTTTAATGAACCTTCGTCATCTTATCTAAGACATGAACAATGCATACATGAGATTTATTTGAAGACAGCGAGGCTTAAAAGAACGAGTCAAAACGGTTTTAAGTTTGTTAATGCCTTGGTAGGCTACTTAAATCACAAGTGCCGCTATGAGCACTTGTTTTCCTTCAAGTAAATTAAGAAATGCAGTCGTATTTTT